CACCTCTTCCCTTCCAGTGTGGGAATTCCAGCCCCTTATATGTAATAACAATAATTTTTATATTAGTGTAATCCAATTCTTAAGGGTTTAAGAACCGAAATATTTATCCTTGCAATGTTTAAATAATATGTAAAACCTGTAACTAAAGAAAAAGAACACACATTCCATATCATTTGGTTTGCTATGGAAATTTCATTTCATGTTCTGATTTTGAAAAAATAGATTTTTTGATACAGAATTGCAGTGAAGAATTGATCAATTTACGGTTATCAGACAATAAATTGTAAAGAAATATTAGACTTAGAATTGATTTTCTTTTAGAATATAATAAATGTCGGTGCCTTTGAGTTTTCTTTTTCTGCGTTATCGCCGAATGCCACGCAAAGTTCTCATTGCAATTATGTGATAAGGACGGAATGTTAACGGAAGTAGTGGCGTATCTAGAACTTTCGGATGTGTTCTCGATCCTATTTTTATTTAACTCGGATCAGCGAACATGTGGCAATTACAAGAATTTCCAGAATAACTAGGAAAAATAGAACTGATTTTAATCAAATGTCAATACCTTGAAACTAAAAAAAAAGCCTTAAATTTCTGGCTGTTTGTCTGTCTTTTATCCGAAAAAATATAGCGTAAAAACTGTTGGAAAAACAAAAAAAAAAAAAAATTAAAAAGATGCTGCAAATTGAATATTTCTGTTAAAATTTCTTTCAATGACCAACATTTGTAATAAGAATTGACCATTCATTTTGTTGTTTTCAAATGATAAATTGTCACTGATTGGTCAAAAGTTTGATTGTTCTTTTTGTTCCGTGCAATGAGAAATGATCTATAGAAATGATTCTATTTTTATCGTTGAGTAAAGAATGAAATGTTGTTTGCCATGGTAATTCCTGTGTTTAGACAAATTTAACGTCAGGCTCGAAGTTGGACAACGATGATACATTACATATCTTTCAAATTATATTCATAAACAGAATTTCGAGCCAATGTAATATCCGCATCCGTAAATCTTGCACGTTATTCGTGTTCATAGATAAAATACCTATACTTATAAAAACAGTCATATTTTATAGCCTATATAATAGAATAATGTAGATTTAACTTTTTTCTCAAAGTAAATCACTATAAATGCATTAAATGTTATGCACGAGGTTACTATATTAAAATAAGAACTAAAAATCTTATGAATTAAATGGTTTAAAATTAATACTTTTAAATAATTATTCGGGAAGTACAAAATATTATTTCTGCATAAGCTACATATGTATTAATAATTAATGACTATGCAGGAATATAGTGCTAATTAAATAGGAGAATTTATTGTACGAAAATATTCTACCAATTGGATATATATTATAGTTTATATTTTATCAACCTTAAATTATAAATCCAATTGGTGATTGTGCAGTAGGTCCCGTTTTTCTAATGGTACGGTATAAATTTTCCTTATTGTGTTTGTATAGAATGAAATATCTAAGTACTATTCCTCCTTTTTTTATAAATTTCGGTGTAATAAATATAGTTAAAAATTATATTTTAGAGACCAATTCTCAATTTAACTGATCCTAAAGAAACTAGAATTCGTTTTATGACGTTTCTCATTAAATTAATTTCTAAAAACCATCTTTAAATACTGATCCTGTTGTATTTTCACACAGATCATTTTCATTCAAGTACAGTACTATCAAAGAGTTTTTGCGTAAGGCGGTCCTCTACTTTCGTACAATTCACTATTTCGTACACATTCCATACTTTCGATTTTTATCGATATATATGGCAAAATGCGCGTACTTTCATGTAATGATTCTCCCCTTCTCATGAACTATTAGTCACTAGTTCCTCCCCACCTCTCCGACATTAATCACGTCCATTTTCGGCGTCAGAGGTTCAGTCTTGAGCAAGAATGTCTTGAGTTAGCCTTCATGTATCTTGACAAATTTTTGATCATTGTGGAAGAATAGTGATTCCAATGGAGAACGTATATCTCATGTACGAAGGGAATAGAAAAAGACACAGCATGTTACAGAACTCTTTATCAAGAAAAGAAAAAGAATACAGTTCAATACAGTGGCGTAGCGTGGGTGTCAGCCGCCCGGGGCGGAGGAAAATTTCGCCTCCTCCTTATTTAGGTATCTCAATTTAAAAGACTAAAATTCAGTTTCGTCACAGAATAAGTCATGAAAAATTCCGTGCTAGTGTTGCCACCTTATTAAAATCGCTGACCCGGACGGCAGGTGAGGTTTGTTCGAATAGAAGTTCCTGACGCATGCGTATGTCATTTTGCAATGCGAAGAATAATGTGTAGTGCATGCTGGTTCTAAATCAGTTACAGTTAGCGACTAGGGAGACTTGGATAGGAGTAACGCGAGTGACCTAGCTGTATTGGATATTGGAGGTGTATATATACGAATAAATCGTACAAGCAAAAACAAGAAAAAAAAAAGGTCAACAGGTCGCGCACGATATCCCCGGACGGCGAGTAGATTCCCGGACTATCCGGATGGATGGTAACACTGTATTCCGTGCTCATTTCAATCGGTCCGAGTCGTAGGTGGACGAAAATATGAAATAAAATGGTTAAAATCCTTACAAAATATTATTATTTATTGTGAAATTTTGCCGCCCCCTAAAAAGTGCCGCCCGGGCCGCCCCTGCCGCCCCCACTACGCTACGCTACTGGTTCAATAATCTGTTGACAAATTTATAAAGAAAACACCAGATATTAATCAATAAAAAAATCAATATTTTGAAAACCCTTTTTAATGTTTTTTTTTTTTTTTTACATTGCTCTACTCATTTCAACTTTCATATACATTTCAAGAACCAATTATATACGAAAGTAGAGGACCTCCTTGTATATACTTTCTTTTAGTTGAAATACTCGTTTTTTCGACTGATAAATCAATAAGATATAAAAGTTTTGTTATTAATTCGTTTAGTAATATTAAATTTAAAAAAAAAACGTTTTTATTGGTCATATTTTTCGATATTGGGGATCATCCCCTAAAACAGGGGTGGCCAACCTTTTCAGAAGGCGGGCCAAATTTCAGAAATAATATTTCCTGCCGGGCCACGCACCTATTTTTTTTTTTTAAAGTAAACAAGCAAGCGTGCTACAGCTTCAACCACATCGTCGCTTCCCGGTAGATGAGGTCGTGGTCAAACACTTGCCTGGTTTAATGTAAAAAACACAAAAAATAGATATATTTATTTTTTTGAAGAAAATAAAACAGCCGAGAATCAAACATATTTATTAAACAATTTAAAAATATTTAAAAGTGAGACATCTGACTTTGAGTGCTGTCGATTGCAAAATCTCTCCAGATGCATTGGCGATAATAAAAAGAAACTACAGAATAACACGGAACTTTGTCAAGCTGGACTGAAAGTAGTTACGAGTATGAGCCCGATAGCATTGCGAGCTTCCCGAAAACGCCGAAGACCACAGAACATATTGAAGTCTCATATTAAATTTTATCAACACCTAGCGTCGGACAGAAAACTAAGTAACCTTGAGTGTCTAATAGCGGGATATTTGAAATAGCTAAAAATCTATGAATTTTTCCAAAAATGAGAGATATTTCAAATTTCTCTTAGCTATAATTTAAAAATACATGATACGAATAACTCATGATGTAATGTTCTTTTGGTGATATGTACAATAAAGTTAACATTTACGTTCATTGGCCACCCCTGCCCTAAAACATCATTGAAATGCATTGTCATTGGACTTAATTATATCCTCAAAGTTTCGGCCTTCTATCTTCATTAGAAGTGAATGAAGAAAGGACGATCAAAGAAATTTAAATAAAAGCTTTTAACAATAATAACTAAATACTACCGAAATAATAATAAATTTATTTTAAGTTCGTATTAGCAAATTTTATTAGTACTTTAAGCTTACATAAAGGTTATTAATTCTCTAGTTATCTTTATAATTTTACATTTTAAATATTAATTTTCACAATTAATTAGTCACAACAGGGTGTGTATTATTTAATTAGAATTATAGTAAAACTAAATACAAATAATTGTAATCGATGATAACCTTACATTGATTTTAAAAATGTATAAGTTATTTTTTGTAAACCAAACTTAAAATAATAAATTTCATAAAAATAGAATAGATTTTTAAAAATGATCATATTATATTTAAAAAGCCATCCGTTAATACATTCTTCATAAAAATCGAATTAAGTGATATGATTGCGTTAACAGGTTTTGTTTAATTTATAAAATTCAAAATGAATGACGCCATTAATTTCATGTTTTTAAAATTGGTATTTGCATAATATTATGGCATATTTTTCAGTCAAATAGACCTAAGACATGCGTACAAATAGACATATATATCTATGTACTGTATAGGCTACGTTTTCTGTACGTAATTTTTTTTAAGTTGATTGATATGTGTTGATAAAGAATGTAATTTTTTAACTTAGGTCTAAGTACTAGGCACCAATGGAGTAGAATAAAGTTCTTTCTCATGTAAAGTGAAAGATTATCCTTCCAAAATTGACCGCGACTGTTATCGAACACTTCAAAAGACATTATCCATCTCTGTCATCGTTACAACTGTGGCAAGACAGCTGAAACGTGTTGTTTTTCAGTTAAGAGAGGCAAAACTCTAACACTCGGCACGCTAAAAACAATCATTTCTCCACAGATGAATTAAAATGTGCAGATATTGTAAATAGAAATAAAATAATTTATATTTAATATAGTACTGTTGCTGCTGAATTTCAGTTTTATCTGGACACATTGCTAACAGTTTCCAAAACTAATTGATTACCTTACTTGGATATCTAAAATCGAATGTAAAGTTTATTATTTCCAACGAAGGTATTTAATGATGAATTTTAAAGATGTAATGTTACCGCTGGGATCAAAGCCCGGCCGCTTTTGTTTTGGTCAGTAAAACCAAACTAACTCCACACCTGCAGCTGTCAACAACGTCACTCGCCGTTGACGACTTTCTTCAGCTTGTTTCACTCTAATCAATAAACAACGCAGTCTTGACAGTCAAGATAGATGACGGGGGTCAGCGTGTCGCCTATCAGTCACGTGGTGTAGAAAGGTGGAGCTTAGGACATTCCCGGATGTAGAGTATCTACGAGAAAGGCGATTGGTCGAGCGTACGAGGGTGGAGATTCGTACTCCCCACTTGGCGGAGCTTCGTTCATAACATTGGAAAGCGACGAGATGCGGAGACGTGTGTAATAACAGAGCCCGAATCCATTCATGTTGACTCCGTCGAGCCATGAACTGTATTTTCGGGAACGCACTGTTGTTCCTGAGCAGTTTATGTGTAGGGATGTCGACCACCGAACCCGAACAATGCGAAATTGCCAGGATGAAGTGCGCTTATAGAGTGGGTTGCGGGATGGCTTTACGCAGTTACATGATCGACTGTGCCGAAGTCATGGCAGGTAGATCCAAGAGATGTCCCGCTCCCTGCAAACGAGCTCTGGTAGCGTTGATGAGTACCGAAGAAGGTCAAGTACTAGTGGACTGCGATTGTCACAATTCCGAATTCTGCGAGCAAAGTAAAGAACGGATCGAAGTATGTAGGCCCGAGGTGATGAGTGCGATGGCGGAAGATAGTGTGGTATCGTGTTCCGTGGCACAGTGGATCTGCGCTGCCGATCCCCTCTGTTCTACCGCATTAGATTATTACCATAGGTTGTGCAGAAGCATGTTCCATGGTAGAAAGTGCACTCCGCGTTGCAATAACAGTTTGGCAATTCTTAACAGGCAAGACAAAGCGACCAAGTTAAGAACGTGTTATTGTGATGGTAGCGAAGACTTTGCGTGTCACGAAGTGAAACAGAACACAAATTATTTATGTTACGGGAAAATAACTGCTAAAGAAGAAAATGAACTATCGTCCGCGTGTTATTTAGGATATAAACTTCTATTCTGGACTTGTATAGTGTGGAACATCATTTTCACGAAACCGTGGAGATAGTCAAGGTGAGTTAATACATAGCTCTAGGCCAGTTTGATATATTACCCGCGTGGCCAAATTTTTGAACGAATTTATTTTACAATTTGATTAATGGAGAAATAAATTCCTGTCTCTATACTTTTCTATTACTATCTTACCGTTTTCCAAAAGGGGAGAGTTCGAGGTCAGTGTACTACGGTCACTTGTCCTTCGAATGTTATGGAGTTTTCGTCGTGGACCAACCAAGAACTGCAATTGCCCCAAAGCAACATCTTTTGTAGATAACCTAGCCGACCTCCTAGATATCTTCATTTCTAGACGGGTTACCTGGTGTGAGGATGACAACTGGCCTCTTTTTACCCTTTAAAAAAAACTGTATGAAAATGTTAATGTGTTCAGCTGTTTTCTAATTTGGAGTGTGTTTTGGTTTGCGAAAAAAACTGCTCCGGGTTATCACTCTTGTTTGTTTTGTCTGCCAGTCAAAAACGACAGAATGCTCTAACGCTTACTCAAAATGTTAAACAAACACTTCTTGAGTTAATAAGTGAATAAAACTAGAATAAAAACAAATGAATTTATTAAAAAATCTCGTGTATTTGAGTCAGAAGCTATATTAAAACTGTTTCGGGGCCTCATATTGTAAATTAATGGCTCCGTCCGACTGGCACGTATTGTAAATGCGATATTTCTGCCTAATATATAAATAGGAGGGAAATGTCTCTCGTTTATTACTGAACGTTCGCATATTCTCTCTCGAGCTTTTTCTAAAATCGTTATCTCGAGTTTTATAAGCCAAGTATTCATTTAAAATGTCGATATTTATTTTTATTTCGAATTTCAAATTTAGTTACAATCGATTAATTCCTTACTTGTGCGCGGCTTTCTTTCTTTTAAAGGATTCTCGAGGTGTTTAAAAATAACGCAACGAAGAATATAATCGGCAATTGTTCTTTCATCACTTTTCATTTGGATTTTGTGTTTGAAATTTTTATTTCTTGTTTGTCAGCTATTATAATTACGTAGTACCAAGATATGGGTGGCGTATATATCTCTCCTGTAGTTGTCCGTGCCCGGGGCAGACATGCCAGTCCTTACAACCAATGCCAGATGGCTGACTGAGGTAATGGGAGGGTGGATAAGGCTTGCTTCGGGCTACCCAAAACAGCCCCTAATGACTTTATCTTGTGATTCTTAGCTTAAAAACTTAGTTTTTTACTACGTTGAATCGAATTTTATTAATATTAATCGACCGAAACTTCAGTAGTCATTACTGAATGCGAAACTTCTAGTAGCCTATTGATTTTTAACCCACTTCAAAACCAATGCTTTTGACGAGAAGGTCGCGTTATTCGTCAATAGAAATTTTTTGCATTGACAATAGTGACTGTATGGACGTTTCGGGCATATGTAAAAGCACGTGTCTACTGGAGTGAGTGAGTGCCTCTACTGGAGTGAAGTCCCGGCGTTTGTCACGTATCACGTGACCCCCGAATGGGAACAAATGACCCCGCTGACTCTCCCCGGTTTCGGTTTTCTCCAGAAATAAACCATAATTAATACTTATATGCGAATTTAAACCATAAATTTACCATCATCGTTTTTCCTTTACAGGTTTTTACTGGAGGAAAAAATTAAATCCGTCCCTTCGAGAAAATCTCAGGTTATGTACAGTAAAATTTATATATTAAATTATGTTCAGATTATTAAAATAAAAGTCTTTTTTAATATTTGTGTTTTTTTAAATATATTTTAACAAAATCAAAACTCGAGGACTATTGGACTATTGTCCATTAATTCTATAATTGGGCATTAAATGAAAGAAGAGTCATGTTTGCAACAATGTTTCATTGTAAGAACAATCAAGATCGAGTATTACATAAAGAATTTAACCAATTTATTCGTCCATCGATAAAAATTTATCGAAGATCAAATGTCACTGATGCAACGATAGTGAATTACTATGCATTGGACACTTTTGAAAATTTAAATTTGGATGTTACGATTTCTTAAACCACTTTTTTCCTTATCTTGTCGCGTAATTTATGTCGCGTTTAGCACGAAACGGCATTCCGAGACGATTATTTTTACCTTTTAGAAAAACCGCAAAGCAAAGGCAGCTGCACACAACCAATTCAGAATGAGTCGATGGAAGACCTGTGACGTCATCAGGCCTCTAAGTCTGTGCCACGTGTAACCCTCGGGTAGTAAATAACACACAAAAGCTTCCCTCACCTGCAGCTGCCTTTGTTTTCATTTTATTCACCTCGGGGGAAAAATCCCTAAATCTCACAAAGTTTTATATATATATATATATAACAATATATTCTTAACAGAATATAACTTAAAAACTAAACGGGGGAATTAAAGTTTACAATTAGTCGGTAAGTCTTTTATAATATCAGAGATTTGTTACAAAAAATATTATTTGTAATCTTCAATGAGAGGAGGAAAACTAGTACAGTAATTATTATTCGACATATAAGGACCACCCAGGTTGATAAATACACATTTTGCTATTCCTATTTCAAAGACTCTTATTATTATTATAATAATTAGCCTAAAAAATACAAAAATACGCCAAAGTTCCAAAAAATACTTCAGTTTTAGCTGAAAATTAAAGTAAAAAAATGTTTACAATGAAATAAGTTATTAAATATAATTTTATTGTTTTTTAGAAAACGTGGTTTTTAAGTTTTTTTTAAAATTCATGGAATAAACTCTAAAATTTCAAATAATTGATTGCAGATCACATTTTTTAGATTTTTCATTTTAACAAATATTTTATAATTAAATATTAATAATCCAATCAGAAATATGATAACAAAACAAAAAGAACTACAGCAATTTTTAACAAATATTCACTTTAAACATTGTATAATATATGTATTATTTATTAAAATTATAATATAATAAATATTAAATAAACTTATTAAAATTAAACATATTTTTTAAAATATATGAGATGTGTATTATCCAGTGATGTTTATTGTAAATAAGACTGAAAAGCATTTAACTAACCCCTTAATGAACCTCATTGGAAGTTATTTAGCTTATTCGTTATTTAAAAGATAATTTTTCGCTCAGGAGATTTCTTAGAAGTATTCTGACAAAAGAGATTTTCACCCTGCAAAGAAGCTTGAGGGGTAATGAGAACTAACGCACATGCTTCACCACTTCAAGTGGATTGACACATTTCGAGTGCTGGCTTATTTCTTCAACAATCGCTCCATGATATGTGTGAACACTATCGATATCTACAAATATTAACAACGGTCTTTAAATATTAAGATATTCACAAATATTAACAATAAACGGAGGCCTTTATTTAATTTCTATCTTTTAAATATTGAATAATAGCTTTAAATACATTTAAATATCTTCCTTTTTTTTTGTTAATATAACAATATAATCTATAGGAAATTGCTAAGTAAACAATAGAATTGTTACGTCGGAGTCTCACCATTATTTTATTGCGTTCGAGTGAAAACAATGCGTGGCATTAAAAAACCGAGAGATAGTAACAATGAGTAATAATTTATTTTTTAATCTTTTTGTGGCTAATTAATACAGAAACTTGGTTGCTTTTACCTGCAATCTTATTCATTAAATTTGATAAAAATAATGGCCGAAAGGTTACATACAACTCGTGTTTAGAAAAAATATCGTTTTTCTCGACGGGATTCAGGAAATGTTGCATCTGCGTTGACATCGCAACTTAAGCCATTTTTTCCTTCCTGGGAGTAAAGACCCGTCGCTTTGACAGTTTCATACCACGTTGTCACCACGTCCCAAAACTGACGTCATCAACTGTTTGTCATCTGGTATTTCTAGCAGAATGTTAAATTTAACACTCTGCCGAGTGGAGAAATACTCGAGAAGATATAATTACTAAGCTAAACTCTATCATCCTTATCGTTTTCTGTTCTTTAAAATGATTAAAATTACTATTTTTCTACAAAATTATTACATTTTATTACGTGAAAGTAATAAACGGTTTCTATTATTGATTAAATACATGTCGAAAATAATCACCCGATATAGTTGATCATTTATTCTAAAAAGAATAGGCATAAAATTATTTTATAAATGCTGTATTAACGTAACGGTGATAAAGTAATGTTTAGACACGAATTTAACCGTTCGCTTATCAATTAATGATGAATTTTACAAGGGAAATTCGACTTTTTAAAGAACTCCATGAACATCCGGTACGGTGCACAGTAATTGGCAATGCATTCGAAATTCATTTCCTTCCAGGGAGGATTTACGGAGGCAAAAAAGCTTAAACCCCCCGATTGACACTAAAACTTAAAAATTTATTCATTGCAACTTCAAAACATTTTAAAAATCATTTATGATGACAAATAATGGTTTATCCGCACGTGTTAATAAAAGAGACTTATAATTATTCAAAATATTTAAAATTTTTGAATTAGCCCACCTTTAGGTTCTTCTGGACTTGCCATTGATTTCCTTCGTATATATGAGTTGTAGCATTTTAAATATTAGATTTATTGATGATTTCTACAGAATTGATCACATAATAAATATTTATTATACATTTTAAAATAAGTTAAAACTTAATAATATTATTATATAAATTAATTTATATGTGAGTATCAACCTTTTAAATATTCTTGATTTAATTGATTGTATTGATGAATATTTTATTGTTCATCATTCTGGAAATTAATTACAAGCCACAAGATATATACGATAAGAGATAATATTAAGTTTTCTATAGACTTAAATCACGAAACGGCGTTTAGTGAATACGTTTATTGAATTTAATTGTCTAGTTTGACTTCGACTTACTCCTAGAGTTTTAGTAAGAGTCAAATGTAAAAACAAAGTGAAATTCCAGACTGGTTTATTGTATAATAGAGTACGTGATACAAGCTTACATTAAACATTGCTCGTATTGTAATATAAGCTTACATTAAACATTGAAGCGATTAAAGAGAAAAATATTTACTTCTGTCACCTTAAAAAATACTCTTATTACTTCGTTAATAAACATCGTCTTATCGTAATATGAGAATATGTTGACTTACGAAGAGATTTATTTTAACAATATAGATTATATCACGGCGCCGAGGCAGTGCACACCAAGGTTTCCGGGAGTTTAATTCCCTCTTCCCTCCATTTGGGAAGAATTAAGAAATAAAAAATAATATTTATTTTGTACTCACCAAACTGTCCTGTACAGTATTTTGTACAACAGTAAAAGTAAACGATCCTCCTTTGTCTATCGTATTGTATTACTCTACGTACTTATATTGTAAAAAATTAATAATCTACGTTACGAAAGAATAATGTATTTTTTAAAACTGGATTAGCCCGTAGGTTTAGAACTATAGACAAAATCTTAAATTAATAATTAAATAGTAAATAGACCTACTTTGATTATAACCAAACATACGTCCAGTGGCGGAACTACCATAAATAGATTATGCAACTGTATAGGGGCCCGAGTCTACTGAGAGTCCGTTTTGTCAAGAAGGGAAACAAAGTATACAATCATACAGTAATGTACTGTACAGTACAAAGTATTGGAAATGTGTAATTGTCGGTATCCAGAAGGGCCTTGAAGAGGCCAGAAGGCATTTTTTTGCCGCGTTTACATGCAAAATTACAATATTTTTGAACTTGTGTTGAGGACCGCTGAGATGAGGGCAGCGAATATAAATTAATTGAGTCTAAAAAGGCCTAGAAAGTTCATAAAAATAATAAATTATCATAACTCTTACAAATTTGATCATATTTTACAAGTTTGAAATAAAATTAACTTAAACTTTGTTACTTAAAATATTAGAAAATCATTTCTATGGTATGAAAATAAAGAGAAAGGGGCCTTGTCTGTTTTTTGTCAGTTTTGTTTATATTCCACGAAACTATCTCATTTTTTGTCATATGTTTCATATTAGGAAAGTATATATATTCGACATAAAAACTGACAAAATAAATCAGATTTTCATGAAATTTAATATAAAAATATGAATTTTAATCCTTTTGTTATAATATTAAGAAATATCACGAGCTAAGTCAACGTTATCACTAATTAATTCATTTCTACGTTATCTACTACAAGCTCAGGCCAAGTATTTTGTTCAAAAATAAAAATAAAATTACTGTTACTGTACAGTACATGACTTTCCTCGTGTTATGCGACTTCGTACTGTGTTTTAACGTCATAAATTTATTTTTTAGCGAGGAGTCTATTTTGGGTGATTTATAATTTTTCTTTTGACAACTCTACTTGGAATTTTTGCTAAGTTAAGGAGAACGTGGCCATATATACTATTATCAGATAGTACATACTTTATTTTTAAATTAAACCGTGTTCTACCATACAATAAAAGGAGAAAAATTAACTATGGAATTAGACTTTTTACTCTATAGTTAATTTTACTTTAAAGCAAACATTTGATAGAAAAAGAGTTAGAAAGTAGTCATTAGATCTTAATATTATTTTGAAATTTAAAACAAATAGGTTAGTAACTTTATAATTACTGTTCTTACCAAACCTTTGAATTTATATTTTCTTTCGTGGAAACAGCTTCGAATTAGTACTGGAAAAAATGAACACTTAAAAAGACAAAATGGCAGTTGTTGTTTGCAGAAAGAAAAGAAAAAAAAAGTTAAGAGGGATCTTAAGAAAAGCTGCTATTGTCAGCCATACTCAGAATGTCTTTTAAACAAATAAAAAATATATTTTTTC